TGAGAGAGGAAGTATGAGGGCAGGACAGAAAGGCATATAGGCATGGGTATACAGGAAGTAGGTCTCTTTGGAGGCTGAGGAGTCGGTAAGGTGAGGTTGGCTGTGGCTTGTCCTATTGTACTGATCTCTCGGTTTTCACCCCAATATCTGGCTCCGTTTTTTTTTTTTTTTTTTTTTTTTTTTTTTTTTTTTTTTATTAATAAGACTGTTTAACAATTCGTCTTACAGAAATGGATCTGAGTTCCATTTCCCAGGATCTAGACTCATGACGCACAGCCCAGGCCTGGGGAATCAGAAACAAGAGGCTCCCTGAGGCTTGCTGGCTAACCAGTCTAGCTGAGTCAGCAGACCCCAGGGGCAGTGAGACACCCTGCTTCAAAAAACAAGGGGGGTGCTGCTGAGAAGGCTCAGGAGTCAAGGCACTTGCTGCACAAGTCTGAGGACCCGAGTTCAATACCCAGGGCCCACATGAAGGTGGAAGGAGAGAACTACCTACACCACATTGTCCTCTGACCTCCACTCATGTGCTGTGTGCGTGTGCCCCTCCCTATATGTGCACACACAATGGCAGTTTCTTTAAAGTTCAGAAGTGAAAAAGGGGGAGCAATTAAGGAAGACAGTGACATTGACCTCCTGATCCCTCTCCACATATATGTCTATGTACACAAATGTGCACATTTGCACACACACGCACACACACACACACACACACACACACACACACACATACACATACACACACAGCCCAGTCCTCTTTTCCCTTGATGGAATCACTTGCTTAGCTTCTAATTGAACCTGTATTTTATGACTAGCAAATCTCTTCTGTCTGTGCTTCTAGCTTTAACCTCATAGGATGCCCTGGCTTATGCTGTAAATCTGGAACACTAAAAACAGTACCTGTCTGATGAGGTAAGGATCCAATAGATGTACATATGACTAGGTGAAGTGCTCCCTACCAGGTCTAGCTCACAGTAAGGGCAACTGTAACTGTAGGTGGTGTTGGTGTTGGTGGTGCTGATGAGGTACCACTACCATCCTTAGGAGATTGTCACAGGAACAGAGACTTACTGGGATGCTGACCCATGCTGCATCAGGGGCACAGGGAGAGTCAGACTCAGTGATGCCCCTTGATAACTCCACTACCTCTGCTCTAACACTCCCTGCTGTGAGCAGCTTCACACAGAACATACTGTACACTCATGCTCATTCCCACACATTTCACAGTAGCCAGGATGTATGAATCATGTTAACTGTCCATCAGCCACTGAGTGGACAGAGGAATTGTGATACACACACAGCATGGAATCCCAAGAAGGGAGAAATCTGGTGAACTGTGATAGCATGGATGAGTCTGGTGTGTACTGTGTTAAGTGAACAAAGCCAGCACAGGGAGAGAAATGCTACCCAGCCTGCCTCCCACAGACTTGGAGTTGACTTGTGTCAGGCAGAGGCTGGGGGAAGGGAACACTTGGTTAAAGGCATAATGGTTCAGTTTGACAGTGATCACTGTGCAGACTGGTGACCCACTGCAGTGAGTAATTCATTCTATGCTTCAAAACAGATGACAGCGTAGATTTTAAGGAGCTGAGTAACTTGTGAATTAGTCTGATTTAATCAATATACATTACAAACACATATCAAAGCATGACATTGGTCTGACACGGGGGTGCATGTCTATAATCCCAGCCCTTAGGAGCAGAGGCAGGAGGATCACAAGTTCAAGGCCATCCTGGGACATATAATATGACCCTGTCTCAAAAAGCTGACAAAACAATAGACCATCGCGCTGTATGCCACCAATACATACAATTATTACTTGTCAATGGAAAACCACAAAAACTGAAGCCAGGCCTTATGGCACAGTCCTGAAATCCCAGCCACTCAGGAGGCTAAGTTCAAGACTAGCTTGAGCTTCTACATGATTCCAAAGCTGATAATTAAGATCCTTTTTAAAAAGAAAAAAACCTGGGCTGGAGATACAGCTCCATGAGAGAGTACTTGCCCTGCACCTGTAAGGCCCTGGTTCTGAAAACAAAACAAAACAAAACTAGAAACAAGAAAGAAGAAAGCAAACATAGATCCTTACACTTGTACTACTCTTTCTATCCAGGACCCGCCTCTCTCTACAACTTCTGGAAAAGTCTTTCCATCTCAGCTTTGGTTCTCACCTCCTTCAGAAGTGTTGGCAGGCCCTTCAGGGTACGTTGGTTCACTCTTGCACATGCTGTCCCATAGTAGGTTTGGAATTCATCTTTCAGTACTTATTGGCCTTCTGTGTATTAGAGTCCACTGACCAGGCCTCTGCTTTCATCCTGTTTGCCTGAAGAGCAAGGAGACGTGACTCACCTCAGGGTTCTTCTCAGTAGGTACCTTTGCCAACACAGGCCGTCATGAAATGACTGCTCAGTGTTAAGGCTGCCAGACAAGAGCTTTAGGAGAAACAGCTTTTCTGGATGAAGAACCAGAGTTAGGTTCAGAGCTGCAGAGAGCAGAACCAGGGCCCGATTTGATCTGTATGGGGAGAGCTCCTCACAGTGATAGCTATTTAATGAGTAGGACCCTTCCTGAACAATGAAAGGCATGATGACTGCCATCAGGAGTCAGTGGAGAGGAGCCAGGACGCACCCTTGAGACTTCTTGTTTATGAGCTGGGTTTGAACATCATGAAAGATTCCGGTGACATTTTAGGGCTTACCTGTGGTCACAGTCATGGCAGATGAGTGGGTTGGCTGGGATGTCAACCCAGTGAGGCTGAGAAAAGACCAGCCCTGTCCAGGTGGACCTGGGTCTCATTCTCTTACTACCCGTGTATACAGAGACTGTAGTGGGTAGCTGTTCCAGCTTTGACCTGAAGTACTAACAACCCCCATTGAGGCTTTGGTAACTGTCACACCTACGAGGCAGGGCTGAAACAGGGGCCCTTAAGACCCAAGATCCAGATGTGCCGGCTCTCTTGGTCCCTGGATCCTGGACGTTGGTGGTAGACCGAGCAGAGTTCTTCAGAGAACAGTGCTGGACTGCACTTCATTTTTCTCGGACCCTGTAACCTATCCCTTTACTTGTTGTAAGTTACCCCAAAATAAACCTCCCTTTTAACTACATGGAGTTGCCTTGATACTTCCACCAAAGGAGACTGCTCCGTGAAGTCCAAGTCCCCTCTCCTTAGCTTCTATGTCTTAGTTACTTTTCTATTGCTGTGACGAGACACTGTGACCAAGGCAACTTACAAAAGAAAGTTTACTTGGGGCCACAGCTTCGGAGGGTTCTAGTCCATGACTATTCATGGCAGGGAGTGTGACAACAGGCAGGCAGACTTGGCACTGGAGCAGTAGCCAAGAGCTCACATCTCGAGACACAATCACAAGGTAGAGAGAGAGCTAACTGGGAATGGTTTGGGCATTTGGAACCTCAGAGCCTGTCCCCTGTGACACACCTCCTCCAGCAAGGCCACACCTCCTTGTCCTTCCCAAACTGCCCCACCAACTGGGGACCAAATATTCAAATGTATGAGTCTACAGGGGTTATTTTCATCCAAACCATCACACACTCCAAAGTCATGAGTTTCATCTAAAGTATCTGAGGTATTTCATGAAAACCTCTCCACTTGGCTTTGGTCAGCCATGTTGTTCAGTATTCATACTGAACACATTCACAGAAAAAGCCTTGGGTCTCTCTTTCTGGGACATTTTTTTTTCTGGGATTCCATTGCATTTTCAAGTTTCAGGTCCAGCTTCTCCTTTACTGCTTGCATCCCAGATGGACAGCTGTCCCTCAGTGCCTTGCAAGGGAACTGATTTCAGACTCTGGCTGGGTAACCAAATTCTGATATCCAAGTATTTGCAAATGGTAGGCACACAGCCTCCTGTGTACTACATTATCCTTAAATCACTTATAACCCTAGATACAATGTCCATGCTGTGCAAATAGTTGTTATACTGGATTGTCTTGTGTTGCTATGGATATGAAGCCCCCCACCCCCAAAGGCTCATGTTGAGGACTTGGTCCCCAATTGATGCTGCTACTTTGGGAGATATTAAAACCTTTAAGGGTTTGGGCCAGCTGAAGGAAGGTCATTGAGGGTGGATCCTTGGGGGATTCCTTAGTGTTTCTCTCTACTTCCTGTCTGCTAGGAGGTGAACTTCCTCTATCACACACCCTCCTGGATGATACCGTGTCTCACTACTGGCCTAGGAGCACTGAGCCAAGTGACTATGGCCTGAGACCTTGGAAACCGTGAACAGAGGCACATCTTCCTTTACTCATTGTTTCAGGTATCTGGTAAGAGCAGTGGAAAAGTAACTAGCATGTTTAGGGAGTATTAAGAAAAAAAATGCTACATTCACAACACAAATGCGTTCTTTTTCCCAGGCTCCAGTTGAAGCCACGATTGAAACCGTTCTGCAGACCCAAGGGCCCACTCTTAAGTTTCTGGCTAAAAAGCTTTGGTTTTATTCACCCCCTTGGCATTTCTCTTAGGACCTGGTGTTTCCTTGGTTTGAAGCTCTTTCAAAGGCTCCTCCCCAGCCTCCGCATACTAACTAGGGTGTTGATGATGACCTCCTAGTGAACATCCTACCTCCTGAGGGTCCACATGGTTACTTCTCTTCACAACATTCCTTTCCTCCCACCCTTGGCCTGAGCATCTGGACCTGCTCATCCTCTTTCCCGAGGATTTTGCTCAGCAAGGCAGATGGTTTCTCTACTGTACATCAGTTTGGCAGATTCACTGTTATCTCTTATAGCACAAAGTTCTAGAAAACAAGTTTAAGAATGGGTTGTATTTTAAATAAGTGATTTGTTTAGAACTCACATTTTCCCCTTGCATTGAAGTTCTTCATGATGGTTAGTTTTGTCAGATTAGGCCGGGAGAGGCCATTTAACTAGAAGGATTAAGCTAAAGCGTGAAACCCATAGAATCTTAAGGACTGTTAGGTAGAATACAGTGTTTCCATGGGAAAATATTTCCTGGGTTCTGCATTGGAATGCTAGGATTCCTTTAAATGTCTGCAGGGAATGGAGCACACTCTCACCTCCATTTACATTTATAAACACTACAGTATTTTCTGAGGGACCACTGTGCACCAGGCAGTGATGTCATTGGAACGGCTGTCACCTATTTCAGATAGGGCAGCCAAGGCTGTTCTGTACAATATCCCGTACTGGTTTCCTTACTTCATCCACGTGCTTCAATAATGTCCTTTTTGAGACCGTGAGTCATTTTTTGTTGGTAAACTTTTGAGATAATTATCTTCGTTCTTTCCCTGCTGCTGTGACAGAGTGCTTTGGCAACAACAACATAAAGGGAAAAGGGCTTATTTGCGCTCACAGTTCAGGATGCCCATCATAGAAGGGAAGTCAAGGCAACGGGCTCTTGGAGCAGCTTGTCATACTGCACTCATAATCGGGAAACAGAGAGGAATGGATGCCTACATGACAGGGCCCTGTTCACTTTGCCATTTCATGCAATCTAGTACTTGCCCTGTCCACAGGTAAGAAGGACTTTTCCTATCAATTGATGTGATAAAGAAAGAGTAGGATGTAGTATGAGGAGCAGCGGTGACTGACTTCATTTTTTTTTTTTTTTTCTGTTTTCAGTACCAGGGCCTCACAGGTGTGGGGCAAGTGCTCCCTGATTGAACTGTATCTCCAGTCCCAGGTGTTTTTTCTTTTTAAAGAGGATCTAATTTACTAGCTTTGGAATCATGTAGAAGCTCAAGCTAGTCTTGAACTTAACCTCCTGAGTGGCTGGGATTTCAGGACTGTGCCATGAGGCCTGGCTTCAGTTTTTGTGGTTTTCCATTGACAAGTAATAATTGTATATATTGGTGGGATACAATGCAATGATCTATTGTTTTGTCAGCTTTTTGAGACAGGGTCATATTATATGTCCCAGGATGGCCTTGAACTTGTGATCCTCCTGCCTCTGCTCCTAAGGGCTGGGATTATAGACATGCACCCCCATGTCAGACCAATATCATGCTTTGATATGTGTTTGTAATGTATATTGATTAAATCAGGCTAATTCACAAGTTACTCAGCTCCTTAAAATCTACGCTGTCATCTGTCTTGAAGCACAGAATGAATTACTCACTGCAGTGGGTCACCAGTCTGCACAGTGATCACTGTCAAACTGAACCATTATGCCTTTAACCAAGTGTTCCCTTCCCCCAGCCTCTGCCTGACACAAGTCAACTCCAAGTCTGTGGGAGGCAGGCTGGGTAGCATTTCTCTCCCTGTGCTGGCTTTGTTCACTTAACACAGTACACACCAGACTCATCCATGCTATCACAGCTCACCAGACTTCTCCCTTCTTGAAATTCCATGCTGTGTGTGTATCACAATTCCTCTGTCCACTCAGTGGCTGATGGACAGTTAACATGATTCATACATCCTGGCTACTGTGAAATGTGTGGGAATGAGCATGAGTGTACAGTATGTTCTGTGTGAAGCTGCTCACAGCAGGGAGTGTTAGAGCAGAGGTAGTGGAGTTATCAAGGGGCATCACTGAGTCTGACTCTCCCTGTGTCCCTGATGCAGCATGGGTCAGCATCCCAATAAGTCTCTGTTCCTGTGACAATCTCCTAATGCTGGTGGTTGGCATTATTCCTCACAGACATACAGAGGCTAACCTCAGTCTAGACAATCCTTCACTAGAGTGTAACCTTAGTCTAAACAACCTCTCACAGATATATTAGAGGCTAACCTTAGTCTAGATAATCCTTCACAGACACAGGGGGAGCTAATCTTAGTCTAAAGGCACAAGCGTGCCTTCAGGTCCTGCTCCCAAGTGAGTCTAGCTTCTGTCAAGATGATAATACTAACCATTATATTCACCCGACATTTTACCTACTTCAATGGTCTTGAATCTGTAGTTGAGTTACAGTCTTTTAAAGGGTCATGTTGCCTTATGTTTTTATGTTTCTCATGTTTCTGTGTTGCAGTGTGAACATCTATTGATGTGGACGTTTCTTTGTTTTATTTGAGGATCCTCTTAGTGGTCAGGCCACCCAGGTCATGGCAAAGAGAAAGTAGAGTGTGCTATGAAGTTGAAGATTATTTAATGTAAATGTAGGACTAGTAAACAGAGAGAAAAAGGGCAGGAAAGGGAGAGGAAAAATAGATAAATGAGGTTAAATAATTGAAAGGTAAAAGAAGAGGAGGCGTGAAGGATGGAGATAGAACAAGAGTTTTAAAAAAGACAATGAAAAGGACTTCCTAATGATGAGAAAATTTGTAAAGAAAATTATATAATGTAAAAAGGAGAATGAAAAACAAAGGCACAATAGCTTTAAAAACTGGAGAACAATTAAGTCAAAATATTATTGAATATTTTTAGTAGAGTTTTTGTTTTTGTTTGTTGTTATTTTAAGTAAAACACAGAGAATCCCTAAAGAAAATAAATAAGTAAAATTACTCAATAATGAAAAAATTATGTAAACAAAGTTAGAATGATTGTGGTGGTTTGAATGAGAATAGCCCCAGAAGCTCATAGATTTGAATGCTTGGTCCCTAGTTGGTAGAACTGTTTGGGAAGGATTAGGAAGTGTGCCTTGTAGGAGGAGATGAGTCATTGGGAGTGGGCTTTGAGGTTTCTAAAGCCCATGATATTCCCAGTTAGTTCTCACTCTCTCTGGCTTGTGTCTGCAGATCAGGTGAGAGCTCTCAGCGACTTCTCCAGCACCAGGCCTGCCTGTCAGCCGCCATGCTCCTCCCCCCCCCCATCACGGCCTCAACTCAGCCTCTGGTACTGTGAGCCCCCAGTAACCTCTTTCTTCTATAAATTGCCTTGGTCACGGTGTCTCATCACATTGATAGAAAAGTCACCAAGACAAGGGGAAAAAGTTAAACACAAAAACTGAAAAAATCATGATGTAAAAATAGTACTAACCATGCAGTAAGACAAAAACAAGGGGGACCTCAAAGGCAGAGGAGAAGAAAGAAGGCAGTGAAGTGCTGGGGAAGTTGCTTCTAAGTCCTTGAACATTGGCAACTTCCAGTTATATCCAGGGGACAGGGCAGGTGGAATGTTCGGGCTCTAGCCTTTTCTAAGGTTTACGCCGTTGATGGATAATCCTGTATTAGGTGTCTAGTGTCCCTAGAGACGCTTTTATTTTAGTAGCTTCTCTTTTTCTACCAGGGGACCCTCTCTGCTGGCCACACTTAGCTTTGTAGTCTGTGGGCTTGGCAGGGTCACTCCCTGTCCTGATATCCCCTGGTTTGTATAGCCTAGGGTGGCTAATGTTCTAGCTGGAGAGTGTCTCTCAGGAGGTCTGTTAAAGGGGGACCATCTGCTAAGCTTCCACCATCCTGCAGGAAGGATGCAGCTGTGGACACCACACCATCCACTGGGGCTTTGGAATTCTCAGACCCTACAGCAGAGTACTTCACGGCAGCTATATAGCCCTGGAGGTTGATCCACCTGCTGACATCAGGCTCCGGAGTATCAAACTCTACAGTTACTCTCAGTTGGTGAGGTTGGTCTCCAGGCACCCAAGAGAGTATTCTGTCCTTCTCTGTATGCTTCACTGCCTGGGCTCAGCCTCCTCTACTTGATGTTTTAGGCTTGAAGGTGTCCCATTAGAGAGCTCTCTGCCACTGCTCCAGGTTGAAGCTTAAGTCGTAGGTGCCTGGCTCCCCTGCTTCCCACAGCTTTCTCCCCTGCCCCGCTGAGTCTGTGACAGGTGGAATTCAGACTTCCCGACTGTAGCTTCACTTTAGACAATAGAGTCCCTCGCAAGATGGTACCTGGACACACTCCTCTCTACCCATGACCCAGCCCGCTAGAGAAGTCATTGTCTCAGCAAGCCCACACCCGGATTTGAGTCTTGTGAGGGCAGCAGGCTTGTCCTGTGGGCGGGACTTCCTGTCTCTTTTCACCAGGGGGGCCTGTCTTAGATTTGGATAAGGTTGCAGCTTCTTCCCCCTTGGTGGGGAGCTGAGCAGCAGGAGCTGCTGGACTTCAGTGTATCACCTTCAGTTTCTCCACTTTCCTGCTGTTCCTACTCCTTTTGTGGATTTCCCAAGCTCTTCCCTCTCTTGGGAATGAAGTCAATTTTCTTTTTTGATTTGCATTTCTTTTATTATGAGTGAATCTCATGTTTAAAGGCCTTTGTAAAATCTGGTTTTATTTTTCTCTCTGAATAAGTCTCTTGACCGATCTTATTTCTTTCTTTTATTGAAAATAGAATTTCTTTTTCCTATAATATATCTGATTGTGGTTTCTTCCCCCTCCAGTCCTCCCCACATCTCCTTCCCACATCTCCTCCCCTCCAGTTCCACCCTCCTGTCTCATTGGAAGACATACCTACAAGAGATAATAATAAAATAAAGCAAAATATAAGATAAAACAAAAGAAACACATCGGAATAGGACAAAACAAAGAGACAGAAGGAAAAGAGCCCAAGAAAAGGCACAAGAAACAGACAGACCCAGAGACCCACTTGTTCCCACACCTGGGCACCCCATAAAAACACTAAACTAGAAGCCACAATATATATGCAAAGGACCTGTACAGAAAAAAAAAAGAAAAAAAGAGAGAAAAACAACGAGAACAAAGAAGATAAAATTTAAAAGACAGAAAGAGCGAGGGAGCTCTGACATGACATTATGAGACAGGGAACCTCCAAGGTTGCGGGAGAGCTCGCCTTCCCCCGGCCATCCACCTCTTGGCACCCAGCCTACCCCAAGAGTAGTTTGTTTCCGGAGTGAGACTCCCTTGGAGAAAAACAAACTCTCATTTGCAAGTGGTTAGGAATTGTAGATAGCGTCTGGGTTAGGGATGGGGTCCTGTGTCTGCTTCTCCTTCCAGGTCTACGACTCCATCTAGTGCAGGCCACACAGGTCAGAGGATGCGCCACAGTCTCTGAGAGTGCTTATGTGCTTTAGTCCCGCAGTGCTTCAAAGGACCTGCCCCTTAGTGTCCTCCACCCCTCTGGCTCTTCCTGCCTCCTCTTCCGAGGAGCTGCCCCAGCCTTGAGGGGAGGGATTTGATAGAGACAAACCCCTTAGGGCCGAGTGTTTCACTTTCTGCGAGTTGTCTGGTGTGAGTCTCTGTATTTGTTCTTACCTGCTGCAGGAGGAAGCCTCTCTGAGGATGGCTGAGCAAGACACTGAGCTGCTTCCATGGCTGGCTTATTTTCTTTTGTGTGTGTGTGTGTGTGTGTGTGTGTGTGTGTGTGTGTGTACGTGCTCGCACACCAGATGTGTCGTGGCCAGAGGCCAATTTGAGTGTCTTACCTAACTGCTCTTTAGTTTATGTTTTTGAGGCAATATCTCTCCCTGAAGAGCAAGGCCATGGATTTGGTTGGACTGGCTGGCCAGTGAGTCCCAGGGACCTGTTTCTGCCTCCCTGGCACTGGGATAATGTGCACAGCCACACCTGGCCCTCTACCCAAGTTCTGGAGGTCAAACTCACGTCATCTCGCTTGTGCGGCAAAGCCATCTCCCAGGCCCGCCTGTTTTCCTAGTCTGACGTTTCTCTTTTGCTGAA